TATATATATATATATTACTACTTGCACAATGTAATTTATGGATGAAGGGATTTAATTGGACCTCTTCTTTATCTTTGACACTAATCGCTAATTGAAGAGATTTTATTCAATGCATGACATCACACTTCATACATAGATGGAACTAGAATTTTAAGTTATTTGGGTTTGGAATTGTAATTCTTTTAAGTTATTGGGTTCTAAATTAAGAATTTATCAATTTCAATAAAAAAATATAAGACAAATATAAAGTATGAATTTAAGTTACTATGTTTGCCCGAATCCGTAACATGTAAACCAGCTCAGCCTCTGACTCCGTGGGTGGTCAATCCTTTCCCTTCTGCTTTATTAGAAAACATGACATTGTATAGCCGCTGCAAAACTAATAGCCAAAATAATGTATATATATATATAAATGAAAGGTTTGTAGCAGTACAGGGAGCAGGATGCACTATAGGCACCAAAGTAACTAAGCTAGTTATATTAGAGTCTACTAGTTGCACACCTTCACAGGGTACGTTACAAGCCAAAACATTACTAGAAAAACTATTTAAGGAAGAGGCCATTGTGTCCCGTAATGGAGCTTCCAGGGTAGGCGTCGAAGAGCTGGTGGAAGAACAGGATTTAACAAGCCTCCGATGATTGGTTCCTACTTGGCCATGATGGTGCAATTCCGGGACAAAAAGTGGTGGTGCTGCAAAAAGGAGACAATTGCTACCATCTGCCTGCTTGGCACCATATTTAGCTAAACTATCTGCTACGCTATTTTGCTCCATGTAGATATGATGGAGAGGTGGGTTACCCAGCTGTAGGAGCTACTTTAGGATGCATTGTGCCCATAATTGAGTGGGATTATGAAAAAGTCTCCAAGCAAGGCTAGCATGGAGGGCGTTATTTTTTGTGCAAAGGTTTTGGATGCCCAAACCGCTTTGGTCTATTGGTAATGTAACCGTATTTCATTTCAGGAGGTGTAGTTTTTTCTTTTGGGATGTTGTGCCCCAAAGAAAATTTCTTTGGTAACGATTGAGTTGGGATAGAATATTATTGGGGATTGTTATATATTGCATGATATGATTCGGTAGGTGATTGAGGGTAGAATGGATTAGAGTAGTGCAACCTGCCTTGTCAAGAATTTTGTTTTCCACCCTGCAAGTCTATTCTTGAAGTTATCCAATAGGAATTGGAAATTTGATTTTGAGGGTTACTTAACAAATATGGGGAATCCTAAATATTTTTCAAAATTTCTCCCTTCTTGCATATAAAAAAGATGTAATACTGAATTTTTTGTTGTCGTTGAGCAATTTTTTTAGAAGAAGATTTTGGATTTGTTAAAATTAATATTTTATCCTGAGTGGGCTATAAAATTGTTAAGAGTGTCGATTATTGAATTGTTGTATGAGTAGTGATTTTTGCAGTGAGGATAATATCATCTGCAAAGAAAAGATGGGACATTAGCGAGCCTCTACTAGCTAGGGATATGGGTTGCAAGGATCGATAGTCCACTGCCATATTTATACTTCGAGAGAGCACTTCCAGACAAAGGATAAATAGGTATGGTGATAGTGGATCCCCTTGATGAATGCCTCGTGATAGTTGAAAATATTCAGTAGGATTACAGTTGATTAGGATCGAGGTGGAGGTGATTGTGACACAAGACATAATGAGTTTGATGAAATTTGATGGAAAATTTAGTGAAACTAAGGTATGTTGTATGAATGATCATTCTAGTTGGTCAAAAGCTTTCTCAAGATCTAATTTGAGAAGCATATGAGGAATGTTCCCTTTCATTTTACAGAAATGAGACATGAGTTCTTGAACAATAATTGCATTATCCGCAACTCGTCTATTTTTCTGGAAACTGGATTGGATGGGATGTATAAGATGTTGCAGAATCGGTTTTAGGCGATTGATAATAATTTTTGTAATAATTTTATAAATAGTATTGCAAAGACTTATTGGACGAAATTGTGACATAGAAGAAGCATGTTTGTGTTTGGGAATTAAGAAAATGAGAGTGTTGTTTATTGAAGGATCGATCCAATTATAATTAAAGATTTTGTAGCAGAAATATTTGACTAAAGTGCCGACAGTGTCCCAATATTTCTGGTAGAAATATGGGTATAGTCCATCTGGACCAGATGCTTTTAAAGGTTTGAAACACTGCAATACTTGTGGGATTGTACTGGGTCGTTATTGTTGTTATTGTAAACACTGCAGTACTTCTAAAATCTCGTTATCTTAAAGTGGGCTATCCAGAGAAAATTGATTGGCCGGACTTAATGTATTAGAAGGGTGCATGTGGTTTTTTCTATGGGAAATAATCGATTTGGTGGTAAAGAGAGTTTGGTAATAATTTGTAATATGGTTTTTAATGTGGTGGGTATAAGTTATCCAATTTCCACCTAGGTCTTGTAGAGTCGTAATACGATTATGGTGTCTACGATTTAGAATGGAGAGATTAAAAAAAATTGTGTTTGTATCTCCATCATTTAACCAGTTTATACACGATTTTAATTTTCAAAAGCCTTCTTCTTTCATAAGGAGTTGTTTAAAATCAAATAATAATTGACATTTTAATTCTTGGAGAAATATGCTAGTGGGGTAATTGATGGAGGATTGGATGCCCGCTAGATAAGCTAAGAGTTTTTTTTATGTTTGAATATGTTTCCAAAAGTGGATTTGTTCCATTCTTGGACTGTTTCGATAAATTATGAAAGGAAATCTCTTTCCGATTAATCGAAGAGGGAAGTGACAAAATGTTGAATATATCAAAAATTGACTACCGATTGAATAATAATAATAATAATAATAATATATATATATATATATACATATTGCCAATATTGCATGTTGCGGCGTGCAGCCCGATCCNACATCATCAAGAAACTTGAATAAGCAACCTAATAAAGAAGTGATACTAATTTAAGGAAAAAAGAACCTCATATTTAGGAGTCAAATATTTGTTCTGCACCCTACAACACCTCAAACTTGGTAAAGTGGGAATTTATTCTTTCTCTTCTTTGTTTAATTCATGATATTAATTAGGAACAACTCCTCATATTTTGAAGCTCAAACTCCTTAGAATACACTTTAGATTTTCTTAAAATTAAAAACTTCACCTAAAAGAATCTATAAACATTGGAATATCCACGTTTAATTATGTGATACATGCATTTATTGTATTCTTCACCTTTCAACCAATTTTCTAACTAACTTATGAAGTTGTTAAAAATACACCACTTGATTTTGAGAACCCGATATTTTTGTCATAACCATATCTTATAAATTGACGGGGTCAGAAATTTCTCTAGGGGTATCAAAATATAAAAATAAAAATACACCAAAAAAAAAAAGGAAATTCAATATATAGTTGTAGACAATAATTTTGCGTCAAGAAAATATTCGAGATAAAAAATTATTGCAACAATCATAGTATTTTATTTCAAACAATATGAGCATTACAATCTCTATAAATTGTCTGATTCTTCTTTCCAATAGTAAATAAAAGTGCCTTCGAGCTTAATCTTAAATTTTATTTTATTTTAATCCAATTGCTTGAGATCTGATCTTGATCTTGACGTATTTTTAATCCAAGGGCTTGCAGCTTGTTCTTAAGTATTCGTCTTGATCTTTTAATCTTTAGAACACTTAATGCTTGTAGCTTTTAGAGAAATCCATCGTGTTTGATCCACGAGTTCCCTCTTGATTATTATTATTATAATGAATTTTTCCCCTTTTCTAAGTTATGAAGACCCTTATTTATAGTTGTGGGATGTGTGTGGCTATGTGATTTAGTTGGCTGACTTGAATGATTGACCAATCAGATTGAAGCAGTGACAATGTAGCATTTGATTGGTCAGAACATGTCACTTGCACATATGACTCGATATCATTGGCCTTTTAATTTGACTTGACATGCCTTGTCATTTTGATACGTGACATGCTCTTATTGGCTCTTCCGTTTAACTTGGCGTGTCACCTCATTTGATACGTGACACTAAACTGGGCCTCTAGAAAAATGAGAATATGCAGTCTTTGCCATAAAAATACTAATTGAGTAGCAGGGGCAGAGCTAGAGTGCCGAGAGCATGTTCAGCTTAATTCGATAGCTTTGGTTCGAATTCTGTATTTGTCTAAACAATTTATTAAATATGTATATATTATTAATTTAGACCTCAATGATTTAAGAAGATTAAAATTTCGAACTCATAAACTTACAATCCTGGCTCGTCTCTGCTGTGTAGCCTCATATCAAAGGCAAAGACCAAATACTACAAAGAGAAGACTCGACTTAATTAAGTAGGATTATCAGTCCATTTACTCCAAAATACAAGGACTTTATTAAACTAAAATGAAAATATTAACAAACTCTTGCTATAACAACATGCTAGTCATTAGACCCTAACCATAACTGACAAATCTGATTGGGTTGCCACCCCACCACCAACGCCTGCCATCTCCGACAATTCCTTCAAGCAACGCGCCACCATCTTGGAATCGGAGTTGGTGGCAACGTGGACCGTGCGGCCTTTCTCCGCCTCGGCTATCACAGTGAAACACCGGTAGACTATGTACCCGCCACCTGGCAAATCTTGGTTGATACAATTGTCACATGAGTACCCTTCCACATCAGCAAAAATATCCCCCCGGGACCCACCATGGCACGTGATGGCCACGCTGAACTCGGCTGGCTCGAAACACATAAGCACCCTCTTGATCAACGGCTCGAGCCCAATGGACCCAGGGTCTAACCCCATGGCTTCATAGCTGGCATAATTGAACCCATCCTCTGGTGTTACGTGCACCGTAGAGTACGTTGCACCATCAATCCCATTCATAGAATATCCACAAGGCTCAAACTCGAAATCACATATCTCATGACTTGGTATTATTTCACTTATCCCGGACATTTTGGTCATTTCACAAGAATCCTCTCCCGATTTTTTGAAAAAGACGGCAGTTTTCTCTCTTTTTAAGCCCGTCATGCACATCTCCAGAGTAATCCCATCCGTCTGATTGGTCAACTTACGTGGACCCACATTTGCCACGTACACATGCCAATTCCGACTCGGCGAGTTGAGATCGCCGAGTACATAAGCATGGCCGTTTTTGAAAAACGAATTCAAAAACGCCACTTCTTCAGAAAAACTACGGTGAGGGGCCGATTGGGAATTTTGAAAAATGAAGGTGCCACGTGAGTACTTTACCGAGTTAACGCCGAGGGAAAGTTCCTCGGCGAGTTTTAAAATCCGAGGAATTGACAAAAGCAATTTTGTGGTCCCACAAGTTTTTAAAATAATTTTTAAAGGATAAATAAATAAACTCGACTCAGAGAGTACGTAAGAATCGAACTCAATGTTGGAGAGGTGTAACACTATGGTGCAACCAGCGGGTTCGAGGATGGAGTCGAGTTGTGACCGAGTCAGGGCTCGGAGACCGAGCCCGTTTGGGTCAGTGAACATGGGTGGCTCGGTGAATGTAATTTCTAGGCGTTTTTCATAGCCTTCAAAACCAATATCAGAAACAGTAGTAGCACCAGTCATTTTAGTAGTAAAAGATGAAAACCAGAATTTTTAAAAAATGAGAATTATTTTAAAAAGTTATGGATTATTGGTGAAAATAATTGAAATAAAGGGATTATCAGGATGGCTTCCTCACGCACTGCATTAACACACGCACACACACACACACACACAAAAAAAAAAAAAAAAATTAGAAAATAGAAAATGATGTAGATTCTAGATAAGAATTTATCGCATCCGCATATACACCAAATATACTAATTTAGTACCGTTAACTAATAAATCAAAATAAGAATAATATTATTTTAATTAATTATGGTCTAGTGTTAGTTGTGTATTCAAAAATACATGTCATGTATTCATTTGAGTTATCTAAACATATTAATGCCCCATAGTTAGTTAATAAATCAAAGTAAAAATATTAACTAACTATGGTAGAGTATATGTTACATGGACTCTCCAGAATATCGTATGCCCATATTATTATTTTTTTGCCGTGGTTTTCGGGTGTCGCTTTGCGAACCCGACTAGCTGTACTTATTGGGTCCCGCTGTTTCAAGGCAGGTCCACCACGGTTAGTTCTACGGGACCCTGGAGACGCGGCCGGTTTGTAATGCCTCCAGTGGCCCTACTGGGGCTCGAACCGGCGACCTGAAGGACTTTGTCCTCAAGCCTTTACCAGCCGAGCTACCCCTCAGGGTTCGTATGCCCATGTTGGATCCTCCAAAAATACATTATTTTTGGAGGATCCGACACGCTATTTTCGAGGTCTGAGTAACATAAGGTATATATAGTGATAGAAGTGTTAAGTGAAAATACATGTTATGTGTATTAATAGTTGATATAAACAGCGAATGCGAGTAAATTTTTACCGTAGATTATATGAATATGGAAAATAAACTTACGTTGGAATAAGCAGCAGAACGGAATTTTTCGATGCCACCGTTGGGACGAACGTCTTCAATAATATAACCAAGAGGAGCTTCGTATCGGATATAGCTATTATTTTTATTATTTTTATTACTGCTACTATTGGAAGAAGAATTCTTCTTACCACCTTTGGTTTCCATTACAACATCAATCTTTTCTGCAACAAAATTCAAGAACTTTATCAATATAAATTTCATATCAAATTAATATAAAATTTCCTCAATTATTTTAGACATTAATTTAAAAGAAGGAATAAACATGGATATGTTTGAAAAAGAAGTCTTACATTTCTGATTGAAGATTAGAGGGCAGACTTTTTTTTTTTCCTTTTTCTGGTTTTTTCCTTTTTTTTTTTTTTTTTTTTTTTTTTTTTTTTTTTTTTTTTTTTTTTTTTTGCTATGCAAGAAGGGAAAAAGGACGATGTGAAAGTAGCAAAATAAAGCAAAGAAGAGGAATTTGTTGTTTGGAAATTGGGTGAGGAAGAGAAATGAAGGGAGTGAGAGTATATATAGATAGGGGAGAGGGAAAAAAAACTAGGACTGCAATTACTCATTTTTCCTTTTTATTTTTTGGATAAGTAATCTCATTTTTATTACAATCTAAAATGAGTCAATTACCACATATTTATCTATTCTTTCAAAAAGAATCAACAACAATAACAATAATAATAAATTCAGTATAATCTCACAAGTGGGATTTGAGAAGGAATGAATACGTACGTAATCTTATTCATACCTTATGCACGTAGAAAGACTATTTTCGATAAATTATCGGCTCGAAGCACGCATGCATAAGTATATAGAACTTTTAAAAAAGAATCACTATAATAAGAAAAAAATTAAATTTACATCTATTACGCGAAAGATAGACGAGACTCTAATCTATGGAGTATGTGAGAGACGCTTAAGAGTTATGTATTCTTATTTTTAATTTTTAACTACTAAAATTAAATTATTTCGTTTGGTTTACATATAATATCTAGCATGGCTTAATTAATTTTATCCAATTTTTCGGTGAAGAGACTTACTCGATGTTTACATATACAAAAGGATATAAAACATACAACATTCATACAACACGTATCACTTAACTGTGGTGAAATATTATGCATTTTTCTTTAATTTTTACTTATTAATGTCAAATAATATCGTTTAATATAAACATCAAGTGCAATAAGTATTTTATTTAATTTCTACCGCTTAAAATTTTGGTTTCTAAAACTAAATTATTTGATCTAATATAAATAACAATAAAGATATTAAACTTGAGTGTGAATCTGAGGAGAAGTTTTATTTTGTGTCTCGTATAATTTAAACTAGTTGTATGAGACTCCTTTTATCTCACAAATTTGTAGACCCCAATTTTACACTTCTGAGTTCACAGAAATCCGGGTCCATAAAACTGTGAGACAAAAACGTTGTCTCATACAACTGACAGTAACAAACAGTCAGTTGTATAAGACACAAAATAAAATTTTCCGAATCCGAAATTCTTGAGCGGGGAGAGAGGTTAATTTTGTCTCCTTGTAATAGTCACATCTCTTTGTTCTGCATGTCTTTCAATATTTTGACACGTATCTAACTGTTTTTTTCCTTTTACTATTTGTGGAAAGAAGAATTTAATATACATTTCCTCTTGCTTGTTCACAATTACTTACTTAATTTATTGTGCCCAATAAATTATACTACAAACAAATTTTGTGGAAAATTAAAATTCATAGGCCTCTCCTTTTCTTATTTCACATTAAGGGTGTGTTTGGTATAACGGAAAATATTTTCTTGGAAAACAAGTAGTAATCTTATTCATTTTCCGATATTTGGTACGCAAATTAAAGAAAATGACTTCTCAAGAGTATTCATATATAATTTAGATATAATAAACATGAATCCATAAACTTTCAAACCAACAACCTTCCGGACTCACAAATTTCACAAACTTTTCAACCGCTAAACTTTCAAAATCGCGGAATTTCGAACCCGTAAACTTTATAATTTCTAAACTCGTAAACTTCTAAACACATAAACCTCCGAACTCATAATTTTGGAACTTATAAAATTTTGANGGTGGGAAATGTTGAGAAGGAGCTTTGGAAAATATTTTCCCTTCTCTTGATAAGAAAAACATTTTCCTCCAATTGAAGGGAAACATTTTCCTCCAATTGGAGAAAAATATTTTCCAAAACATTTAAGCCAACCAAATGGTAAAATTAGAAAATATTTTCCGGAAAATGTTTTCTTCGTACCAAACACACCCTAAATGTTAATCTTAGCTCTAAGAAAATGTTTAGTTGGGACTATATAACTTTATTTTTTAAATATCAAAGTTTGGGAAGTCTGAGTTAATACATTTTTCCTTTTCTTCTATCACAATAGAAATTTATTAGCTTTTATTTAGATTCTGTGGTATACAAGAAAATTCATAAAATATGTATTATTATTTAATTAATTAGCTTACCTAATTACTATAAATATGAGTTTGATACAAGTTCAAAACCCATAAATTTTATTTATTTGTTTATGTCTCGAGGGCTTGCTGATTTATTTATATCGATTTCACAATATAGGTAAGTAGTACCACATATATGTGTTTAACCAAAAATCTGAGTCCTTGGTCAAAGCTAAAAAAGAAATTCGGGTTACTGATAATCAGGAGACAAAAAATAAAATACTTTTGAGAACAACGGTAGGAGGTAAATAGATAAGTATTTCAATGAATTCTCAATAGTATTTCGTGTCCTTACAAATGATGATACTTCTTCCTTTTATAGATCATTCTAGGTAAAGGAATAAAGCCTCAGCTTTAATGATATAATCATGAGCAATAAATGACATTAAATAAGCCGTTATACAATCATTCCTATTAATACCAACTTTATAACGTCTCAAACGTTTAATAATGAATTTGGACTCCTTTCTGTCATCTGATCCTTGCTTTCAATGCCTTCTAATCCGTTGGCTGTAAATAATTTAAATTGGTACGAGACTCGTATCTATACGTCGTCTCGTGCCTATTTAAATTCTTCTTCCCGTGGTTGTTTTCACCGTGCCTCTTAGTCAATTGTTGTTCTTTGACCATTCAACTAATCCACGTGTCATGTCACATCATCTTTAATATAAATTCAGTTTTTTTTCCAATACACTATGGACAAGTATTAGGCAAAATTATTTGTTGACTTAAATGTGAATTTTCAAATAAGCTATTTGAATTTCAAAATTCTTTTCTATAATATTAGTTTATGTTTAATCATAAAAATATTTGAATATAATTTTTATTTATTTACTTTTAATCATTGAGATAAGAGAAAACAAAGAGAATAATTAGTTTCTTAAGGAGATCTTGGAAACACACGAGGCTAATCAAGAAATTTATTGCATACTCTCTCCTTATTTTAAGTTTATTATTATTAAATTTGTTTTATATTACTATGAAGTCTGAAGTCAACCATAGCTAATTGTGTCCCCTAATAATAAGTTAATAACCTAATCGCATGGTCTATGCAGTTAATATAGTTTCAAATATTTCACTGATAAACGTGGTATTCGAGCCAGCTTATGTGCACCTCGACTAATTCTACGAGGTACCTGCTATCTCCCACCAGCGCGATAAATACCGAGTTACTAAGTATACTAAGGCTTGAATAGATGAAATGAAATCACCTAGTATTTTTGTCTCTATATATACTGAATTCTAACATGAAATCTCATAATTTTTTTATTGACCACTAAGTTAATATAATGTAATTCTTTATAATTTTTAGCACTCATGTTCTATATTGTGCATCCTCCTAGGCACAAACTCATCTTCCACTATATATTTCTAATCATTAAGATTTGATTGGTTAATTTGTACATTTCTTTGAAAAGTTGTCTATTTTTTTTTCCCTTCCTCTTTAATTTAGCAAGTATATTTTACTTTTCTAAAATATTGAAAAATTAATTATTTTTTTTCCCAACTTATGGGTTAGTGATATTATCCCCTTTATTTTCTAAATAGGGAAAATAGTCTAATTTATCTTTGTACCTTTAAAATAATTTACATTTAACCTTCGTTATACTTTTCGAAATAATTTGCTCTCATCGTTAATCCTTTATTCAAATAATACCCCTAATTAATCGAGTCAGTGTGAATATGAATTGATTTATAAAATCTTTTTCAGCTTCTTTTTTAATGAAATAATGCACAAATCAGAAAATAGAATTTTAACTAGGAAAATTTACACAAATTTCCCAAATAAATCTCAACTTATCAACTTCTAGCCATTAATCATAGATTACCAAAACTAGCCAATAAAAATTAAAAAACCAAATAATAGGGTTCTTTCTCTCAAAGAATCACATGCAAAAATCATCTTCCATATTTTTAAGCGTGATTAGCAACACTAGATACAAGACGAAAATGAAATTTTATGGATGAGGTAGCAAATAAGGTGATGAAATATAAAAAATATATACAATATTCCAAAAATCTAAACAAAAAAAGAACTTTTTCTACGGGTATAGTTGGAATTCATTTAAAATATATAGATAAGTCAATATACAAAATTTGAGGAAGATTGGAGGTGATTTGGACTGGTTTTGTATCAAAATTCGTAATTAAATCGAGTTCAAAAAAGTCTTTTGCGACACATGTATCTCACACACAGGTATACATGGATATACATGTGATACACAATAGATACAAATATGATACATATGTGATACACAAATGATACACAGTGTGATACACATATCATTTTTTTCATGTTCAGTTTTTACCGAATTTTCAATTCAAACCACCTCAAAACTTCACCAAATCATCCCAAAACTGAGATTCAAGCTCCTTGAGTTGTGCCCAATCTATTCTAATAACACCCACTCAAAACAAAGCAAAATTTTGATATTTTTTTGCTACAAATAGCTAATTGGCTAATTTGGCTTATATTAGTAATATTTTATCAATTAGCCAATTTTTGTAATAAGCTACCTATAAATGGACATAACTGGTAATTTTCCATTTAACTATGACATAATCACTTAGGTAATATTGCACAAGTTTGCAAACAATAGGGAATTTAATATTTTAAAATCAGTTTATCTAATTCAAGAATATGGAGCTGTCATAATAATTGTTTGGACTTTAATCTCCAATATGAGAAAAGATTATATTTATTGGCAAGTAGTCACTAGTCTGGAAACAATTCTATAAACTCACAAAGAATGGTGCCAATTGGCTAACACCAAAAGCTAAAAATATCCAAATTTTGTTAATAATCAATTCAAATTATACATATTGGATCAAAGGCAGCAATTCATTAGAATTTTAGTATTGTATTTAGTGAAGAGAATTTGGTTTATCGGAGATTTCGTGTTTGAGCCCTGAGTATATATGAAGTCGTCTTTGTTAAAAATCGCTTTAACCCTAAACAGTGGTGGACGCACGTGGTGGCAAGATTGAACGCGCTTCATCAAAAAATAATATTG